TTACTGCTCTTCTGATGCTGCTTGGCCTGCTGTGTTCATCCAGCTCTACACCTTGTTATCTCAGATTCTCCGGCATCTGCAATTCCTACTATCTCTGATGCAATTCCGGTCTCCCTGCCATAGGAAGGATGTTGTGAAACTTTAAAGGATTCAGAAAAGATTTATAAAGATGCTGCCAGAGTTGAAGGGTTTAAGCTATAGGGAGAGGTTGAAAAGGCTGGGGCAATTTTCCCTGGAATGTCAGAGGCTGAGGGGTGACATTATAGAGATTTATAAAATCATGAGGGGCATGGATAGGGTGAATAGCCAACATCTTTTCCCTAGGGCCGGGGAGTCGAAAGCTAGAGAGCACAGGTTCAAGGTGAGAGGGGAAAGATTTAAAAGGGACCTAAGGGCAACTTTTTCACGCAGAGGGTGGTGCAAGTATGGAATGAGCTGCCAGAGGTAGTAGAGGAGGCTGGTACAATTACAACATTTAAAAAGTATCTGAATGGGTATATGAATAGGGAGGGTTCAGAAGGATATGAGCCAAATGCTGGCAAATGGGACTAGATTTATTTAGGATATCTGGTCGACATGGACAAGTTAGACCAAAGGGTCTGTTTCCATGCTGTACAGCTCTATGACTCTAAAGTTTGTACATAATTGGTCTGCCATCTCTTCGTTCCCCATTAGAGATTCCCATTTCTGACTCTGCTTAGAGACTTCGCCTTTACTGACTTTTTTCTCTTTACTTATGCGTAGAAGCTTTTACTATCAATTTGTATGTTCTCTGAAAGCTTACTCTCATACTCTTATTTTTCCCCTTTTAATCAATCTCTTTGTCTCCCTTTGCTGGAATCTAAACTGTTCCTAATCCTCAGGTCTGTTGCTTTTTATTAGCCAATTTGTCTGTCTCTTCGTTGGATTTAATACTATCCCTAATTTCCCTTGATAGCCACGTTTTCAGTTTTATTTTTATGTCAGACTTGATTGAACAACTTCTGCGGTTCATCCATGCACTTTTTAAATGTTTGCCATTGCCTCGCTACCATCATTCTCCTAAATCACGAACCCCAATTTATCATAGCTAGTTCGCACATCATACCATCGTAATTTCCTTTATGTAAGTTCAAGATGCTCGTCTCAGAAACAACTATGTCACTCTCATCTTAATGAAGAAGTCAATCCTATTATGGTCACTTTTTCCTAAGGGCCCATGCACAACTAGATCCTTCCATATAACTTAATACCCAATCAACGATGGCCTTTGCATTTCCAAGTAGTTCCTTGAATTGAAATACTCTAGGATGTTTGAGAAAAATGATCTGGTGCTTTTTGAATACAAGACTTGTTCCCTTTCACAAAACACATATAGAATCAAGGGGAGATCTGGTGATATCATTAGTACATTATTCAGCTGTTTTACATGTTAAAAAGGGACATAAGCAAATGCATGGCACCAAAGATATGGCAGGTGAAAGAGCATTGAAATTCTGTGCAGGTTCCAAAGATTAGCAAGTAATTAAATATTGTGCTTTAATCAGTTGATCTTTTTTTTCTCATCTGCAAACATTTCTCCATTTCTACATACTTCTGTTTGATGAACAAATCATCCCCACACCCTAGCTGTGGATGATACTCTCAGCAGTATCCAGTGGGAGTGCTCTGTCACAGGACAAGAGGCATAGTCCACACCAGAATTCCAATATTTCTAAAAAGGATTTGTGTTTTTAGAATTTTAGAATTTATTGTCTTCCAAGACAGTTTTTAACATTTATGTATTCTTTTATTCGGAACGATAATTGTTCTCTGAGCTGGCAATCAGAAATTGACTCTCTTTCAGGATAGTGTAAATACATAATCTATAACATCTAAGAGTGTGTTACAAAGCTAGGTTTAGAGAACAAAGCTTTAGAAGTTGATCAACAGGATGAACAGCCCTCCTACTGGTTACATCCCGTACATTGTGTAGTTTTAATCAGCTCTTGGCGTGACAGAGTCAGAGTGGATCTGCGATTGAAACACATGATTTGAACTGAAGTGCTGTTACATCAGAGGGCTCAGAAAGCTGCGATAGGAATCACTCCTGAGATAAATTAATAATAGGGTAATTTCACAGTACAAGCAGCTTGTAGCTGGAAGCTCTCACAAATGGACTAAAAAGTGGTTTTCTCCACTTCAAGCTAAACTACTGTGGGCTGCAGGTACTCCAGATCACAAAGGACATGAATGGAGGGGGGAAAAGGCTACTGGAAATCTTTTTAATCCCTAGTCCATACAGGAAGATGAAATTGGCTATAGCAGCAGGTGGGAGAAGACATCAATCTAAATCAGGCATTCGAGGAAGTGAATAAAGATAATGCAGAAAGTGTCACAGCCACTTACCCTTCCTGGAAATTACAGCTTTTCACACAGGTGCCACCACGACTATGGAAGGCACAGGATAGACACTGGCTGGGACCTGGCCCCCAACACCCATCACTGGAACATAAAGGATCACACACCTTATTCTCAGCATCTGGAAAGAAGAAAAACACACATGCACAAATCAGTATAGGCATACAGCAAGTTTGACCCAATATTTAGATATAACCCACCTCCACCCACCAATTTCAGTCAGGGGGTAGCAGTTCTTTTCTGACCTCGAATATCCACCAACAATTTGCTGTTTGCAAATGATTCAGAGCCGAATGCCTCCTGCTCCTTAATGTTAACACCTAGCTTCCTGACGCTACAGTGAATGTTCTGTGTGCTAACGTAGCCTATTAAAGTTCAGGTCTGTGTTAATTTTAGTGTCAGACGAAGCAATAGAAATATTACACTTGATCTGTGTCTTAGGAACATGAGGAGGGGGAATAAAATCAGCCAGGATTCCCAGCACTGATTGTTAAAGTCCAATTTCCCCACCTCCTAGATATGCATGCATACGTACGTAAGATAGGGACAAATGGCCCACAAGGTCAAAGAGTCATCAATGACTCAAAATAGATATTGGACAGCTATACAAAAGCAATCTTACTCCAGGCAAGGTGTTATGTCTCTACAACAGAGATGATGCTTCAGACATTCTTTACTGGCCTCCAAAGGTCAAATGCAGAATATGTGATGAAAGCAGGAACAGTAGGCGATAGAAGGAGCAGCACTGGCAAAACATGCTGAAGCCCACTTTTGTGTTGTAATCAGAAGGACATTTTTCACCAGCAACTGGCGAACAAGTCAAATTTTCCATTCTTCACCATGGAAGCAATGACAGCAGTCTCCTGCAGTCTAGGCACTTCCTCGCGTTTAAATGTAGTGTGCTTCAGTGCTTAGGGACATACATCTGCTAAGTTTTCTTGTCACTGATGTAGCTAGGTGATCATTACCAGAGAAGAATTGTGTGTTTAAGGTATTAGCATTGTTTTAGTACCAACTAAAATCAACAGAAAAAATGCACCCTGCAGTCAGGGTTGCCATTAAACTGCAGCCTGTGATTGTTCATCCAAAATCCAAAACAACCCATGGAACTGGAATCAAGCTGCATGTTTTAAGGCAAGTGATCAATTGCAGTACAGCTTTACCTGTCAAATGTCCTTTTTCTATTTGAGCCCTTTCTCTCATGACACATTCAGGGGTACAGTGCCATAGCACCAACAATTCCCTGGTGCCTTGCACAAGGGGACCATGGTGAACATGGTTCAGCTATTCATCAGCTTGAGGCATCACAGCAAAGTTGATCACAAACTAACACCCAGCAAAGGCTGCTGGATCATGATCAGGTGTAGGGGTTCACATTTACCCTTCTATACATTAGGGTCACTGCCTAACAGTCTGGCTGCACTTGGCTAACTCAGTGAAAGACCAGAGTCCAAACCTGGGGCTCTTACATCATACCAACAGTGAACATAACTGCTGAGTCAGTCCTCAATCTGGAGTGTCTCTTTCAATATCACGCTTCGACGAGCCAAAAACAGCATCACAAAAACAGTATCAGTTCTTACATCTGCTAACTTTCTGCACGAGAAGGAAACTTTATACAGGCTCAAGGTCTCTTTCCCTCCTTCACCTCCCATCAAGATTAAAAGCTTTGACAAAATGTATCTTTTTTCAGCAATACTCATGTTCAAGATAAATATTCGTTCAGCCAATGACATTATAAATTAATATTTTAGATAACACATCTTCATATATTCTGTGTGTAGGAGTTTGACCTGATTGTTATCTTTAATTTAATACACTTATTGAAGGGGTACATTTAAGAGATGACTAGCGTAGCATTACACTATACATTAAATGTACCTTTGCCTCAAAAATACCCTTGAATAACGATAACAAAATTGAAGTAGTGACTATTCAACTACACAATCTCGCCGTTCCTGAACTGCTTGTCTGCATTCAATCCTGTGAAAGCAACAATCTCCTCCAGTTAAACATTGGGAAGGTTGAAGCCATTGTCTGCAGACCTAGGCACAAAATTCATTTCTCCATTGATTCTACACCTCGACTTGTCTCATGCTGAACCAGACTAACCATAAGCTGTATGTCTGATTTGACCCTGAGCCAAGCCTCTCATCCATAAACATCTCCATCACAGAGCACGTACTCCTAACTCCATAACATCTTCTGTTAGTGCTCCTGCATCAGCCCATCTGCTGCTGAAACTCTCATTTCTGCTTTCCTTTCCTCCAGGCCAAACTATTCCAACGGTACATCGGTACCTATACCACCAACGCCTTGATTTTTAGTTTCTCATCCATGTGTTCAAATCCCTCTATTGCCTCACCTCTCTCTATAATTTTTAACCTCCTCCAGGCCTACACCCCTGCAGGAACTCTGCATTCCTCTAATTCTGGCCTCTTCTGCACCTCTCACTTCTTTCACCCACCACTGCCAGCCATGCCTTGAGTTGCTTATAGACCCTAACCTTTGGGATTCCTCTTTAAACCTCTATTCCTTTAAGATCTTCCTTAAAACCCCTCTCTTTGGTTACCTATTCCAATATCCAGTTACATTGCTCAGTGTCAATTTTTTTGATCTTGTTTTAGTGAAGCACCTTGTGTTAAAGACACTTGAGAATTACAGATTGCTGTTGTGTTTCTGAGAGAAAAGAAACATGTTCCTCTCACTTACTGCAGGTTGCTTCTAGGTTGTTTTCCTTGATGATGGGTTTAGGGATCCATGTCCTCCGACTGTACAGTGCTGTCCAGTTCAATGTGTGATAGTAGCAGAGTAGTTCATTGTAAGCCACATACACCTGTCCATCACCAATCTCTTTTAATGACTGAAACCCAAGAGACGTCACTTGCTTCAACTTCATGATCATCAGAGACAAGCCACGGCTGCAAAAAGGACAGTGAGGAGCATAGTGAGGGGTCTTGGGACCAATTACAGTGGTACAGTACTTGATTTTGCTCATCCATTTCTATTCCCCACCACCATCCTCCCATGCAACATAAGGTGACACCTCCAATCAGAAACTCATTGTGCAAGCAAAAACCCTATGTTCCAGTAGATCAATACATAACCAGTTGATTTGTATATTTTCAGGCATATTCCCACATATGTAGCATGACGCAAGGAACTGACCAGAGATCTCTCAATTATGGGTAGGGTAACAGTGGTTATGTTATTGAATTGATAATCCAGAGGTCTGGCCTAATGATCTAGAGACTTGGGTACAAATCCCAATAGCAAACACCTGGGCAATTGATTCAATAGGTCTAGAATAAAAAGCTACTATGAGCAATAGTGACCACGAAACCACTGGGTTGCCTCAAAAAAAAATCTGGTTCACCAATATCCTTTTGGAAAGGAAATTTGCTGTTCATATCCAGTCTGGCTGACAGGTGATTATATGTAATTAAACCCAACCCATAATAATGTGATTTGCTCCTAACTGGCCTCTGAAATAGCCTGGCAAACCACTCAGTTGTATTCAAGAAGGTAACAACTCACCATCATCTTTGGGCAATCAGGGATGGATAATGAATGCCTGCCCCTTAACAGTGACATCTGCATCCCACAAATGAATTCTAAAAGATCACAACAATGCCTCTTCTCTCATTCCCTCTTCTCCTGAAGATACTGACTCTCACAGGGGTGTATTCCACATGTAGCTGTGCCTCACCTAAAAATGTCCACGTTTAATTCCAGTGTATGTGGGCAGCTACAGTGGAGGGGAGGAGGGTTGGAATGTCCTCATCCCAGCTGAGCCCAATCCTGTTCTTGTTCACTATCTAATGAGCAAGTTCCTACAGGAGTCACTTGATTCTGAATAGAAATTTTGATCTAACATTTCACCAGCCTCTCTCCCTTATAGGTTTAGGGTGCTGAGGCTATCTGGGCAACCCCTCAATTGTCTGACTGAGATTTGATACCTTCACATTACTAAGCCTCTTTTTTTTTTTGGAAATTCTTACTTGTAAAGTGTCCTGCCTCCGATAGTAGTTAGATTGGAAAAGACACTGAAATCCGTCATGTTTTGTGGCCAGGATTGAATATTCAAGTAACCTAGAAAGGGAGAGAATTCAGGCATGACGTCAGACTACTTCAGATTAACAGACCTTATACTCAAAATATCAGCATTGCATCATCATTATTTTCGATTATTTGAATACATTTCTGTCCTGTATCATTAAAAATGGGACCACAGGAACAGGACTGGCCAATTCAGCCCACCCAGATGCTCCAAAATAGCTTTATTTTTGTAAAACGTCTCTTGGTGTTTGCTTCCCTGGCTGAGAATTCAGCAGCCTGTATTTTGTCTTCTGCAAATCACCCAATAACTGAGAACCGAAGTGTGTAAGAGAGGCCCAGGGCCAATTAACTACCCTTCCTTCCATATTTCCCTTTGTGTCTAGTTTTAGAAGCAGGAGGGTGTTTGGCAGTCTTTTGGGTACATGCCCAGAATAAAGTTTGCTATGATCAACATGATATTAACTACCCTGGCTCAGCCTTTCAGATTGTACCTGGTGTTATGCTGTAATGGTATAATATTGTCACAAATCATGCTGTATCTCGGAGACACACAATGTACTGGTATGAACTTTATAGCCATCAGATAACCGAATAAAGTCACCAAGCATTGTTTAGAGCACTGGAGTTAAGTCAGTGAACAGAACGATTCATAATGAACAAACTACCAGGCTCCACTTCATGATTTTTGCCATCGCTTTGAAGCACCCACCTGTTATCTCTTGAACAGTTCGAAATACCTTCAGTTTTTCTGGATCAAGAGGTGCAATTTTGTGATACAAATCGCTAAAACCAGAATAAAAACAGGAATGAAATTAATTCCGAAACTAAGACATGTTCCAACATCTGCAAGCCAAGTGATCTTTGAACTAAGTAAACCATCAGCTAAGCTATTTGCAAAAATCTCAAACACCTTGTACGTTTAGAGAACTTGCAACTCAACCAGCACTTTTCTGTCGAATCACAAAATCAGAAGAAATTCTGAACGTCAGCATGCAAACAAGACGATCAGAGGAAATCAGTTTTGCAATCAAACTTTATCCATGGTGTATGTGAACAGTCGTGAAGCCCTGAAATTGAATACGTAATTATCTCAGTGAAGTTAGAAATAATTTTCCAAGATGAAAGGTGACTTAAAAGATAACAGAATTCTCCACATGACTCAGCTGAAAATGACCAAACTATTCAGACTACAGAGTTTTGATTTGATCTGAGCCAGAGAGAAAGTTCGAATGTTACAACTAGTTTCTGCACTGTGGTGGGGTGGGGAGGAGGAATATAACTGCTGCTGAAAAGTCCAATTTCTGAAGAGGGAGAAATGAGAGATGGAGGTGTTACTAGAAGAAGATGTGATTTGGCGACAAAAGAAAATCTATTATCTGTGCCATTCAGCACCTCCCTTCCCCTATCTAAATTACATTACTCCCAGGTACCTGCAAAAATCTTCAACCAAGTGGCACAAACTGGACACTGGTGTCCACTCAGTACTTTCCTAGTGGGTGAAATGAATGAACAAGAGCGAGTCAACATCCCACAAAAATAAAACAAAGAATTGCAAATGCTCAAGATTTGAAACAAAGACAGAAGGTGCTGGAGAAACTCAGCAGGTCTGGCAGCATCTGTGGAGAGATAATCAGAGTTAACATTTTGAGTCTTCAGAACTGAAAGCAGCTGGGAAATGGTGGTATTTATGCTGATGACAGGGTGGGGTTGGGGTGAAAGAAATTCTTTAAATAGGTGCTTCGAGAGATTGAGAGAGAAAAAGGAGGAGCAGGCAAAGGGATTGCTGATAGTAAGTTGGGAGAGAAGTAGGCTGAATGGGTGCTAATAGGAAGTGTGAATTGTGGAAAATGGGTTTACTATGCTGGGAGCAACCCATTCAGAACAGGGATAGTAGGAACTGCAGATGCTGGAGAATCCGAGACAACAAGGTGCAGGGCTGGATGAACACAGCAGGCCAAGCAGCATCATAGGAGCAGAGAGGCTGACGTTTCGGGCCTAGACCCTTCATCAGAAAAGGGGGAGGGGAAGGGGGTTCTGAAATAAATAGGGAGAGAGTGGGAGGCGGATAGAAGATGGATAGAGGAGAGGATAGGTGGAGAGGAAACAAACAGGTCGAAGAGGCGGGGATGGGGCCAGTAAAGGTGAGTGTAGGTGGGGAGTCAGGGAGGGGATAGGTCAGTCCAGGGAGGACGGACAGGTCAAGGGGGCGGGAGTG